CTCGTCTTCGTCTGGGTAAGTTGATTGCAATAGTTTGAGGTGTAATATTTACCTGTTGTTGTTCTGGAATGACTTCTTCTATCGAAATAGGCTGGGTTGGTTGCTAAGTCATCTGGTTTGGTTCAGAGGTGACTCTTTTTCTTAATCTTTTTCCCAATTAGGTTTATTTTCGGGTCTTTCTTGATGCTTAATGGCATACAACTCTTCTCCTGTCTCCTGTGTAAATGTCACATAGGTTAATATTTCTTGGCTGTGACATGTTGCCGTTTAAATTCACAGAGGTCTCCCAGTATTTTGGCATCATTCAGCAAGGCAATTCCTAGCAATGTGGCCTTTTTCTCCACAATTATAGTACTTAATACCACGTTTGGGGTCTGCCAGGGCTGGGATAGCCTATTTTGTTTGGGATGGGAGTTGACTTCAACTCTGGCTGCCAATATGGTGGTCAATTTTTAGTAATTTGCGGCCATTTGATACATTTTATATATTAAGGCTTCAATAAGTTGTTAGTAAGATCTTCTTCTTTTCTTTTCAGATAGTATTCATCAGCTTCTATTTTTTTAGCATTCTCGATAATGTCGTCAAGGGTTTTTGGTTCACAATAGACATGAAGGCAGCAATTTTACCTTTTAGACCGCCAATAAATATTCTGACCACATAGGTGGGTGGTAATTTATTTTCTGGGTCGACTCTTTTTTGTAACCTTTTAAATTTGTACACATAAATATTGACTTTTTCATTTTCTTGCTAAGTTAATAATTTTAAGTCCATTTGCCACCTATGGTACCTTTCTGGTATCGCAAAATATTTAATGAATTCAGGAGCAAGCTGGCTCCGGGCTGTCTTCATTATCCCAATATTGGAGGTCATCTTTATGATCGCTATACCAGTTAGCTGCAATTCTGAAGAGGTATCCTGAGGCAATATCGATTCTTCTAGGCTTGGGCCAATTATTCACATTAGTGGCTCTTTCAAATGCTTCGATCTACTTAACAGGGTCTTCATCTTCAGTACTGTGAAACAGTTTAACTTGGACCAAATTGGTCTCACGGTCCTGGTATTGATTTCCAAAACTATCTTCTTGGGCTACTTCTGTGGCGATATCTTTGAATGCCTTGGCAATATCCCTTAAGGTAAGTTGGATACTCTGCTGGTGATTTGGGGCGAATAAGTACTAGTAGATAGGGATGTTAAATTGCGAATCCGGTCCGGTCTGATCCCAGGATCTATTAGGACAGTCTCGGACCTATTATGAAAAACCATTAATTAATCGATCCCAGAACTGGGTCCTGAATTACAATCCTCAACAGGTTCATCCAATCAAATTGACTATTAAACCAAATTTTATTTCTTTTCGTCAAAACGATGACCTTATTACACAATTTTTTTTACATAAAAAAAAATTTATAAAATTTATATATATATATATATAAACAGAAAATATAAAAAAAAAATATAAAGAAAAAACATAATATATAAAAAAAAATTTTTTTATATAAAAAAATTATATAAAAAAAAAAAAAAAAATTCACTTATTTATTAGTGTTAAATGCTAACCGCTTCTTCACTTACCCTTTCACTTAAAATTTTACCTAGTTCAATGTACCAACTTTTTAGACACAATGACGCATGTGCCATTTCAGGATTTATATAATTTCAGATAGGAGTGATTGTATACTTAGTGACAGAAAAAGCTTGCTCACTAGCAATGCTAGTGGCTTGTACAGCGAGAAAATCTATTGTGACATGAGAAAGAGTTAGGTATTGTTTGGGATTTGCTTTCCACCATAGCAGTGGTTCAGCTTTAGTTTCAGGTTCGGACAAGTAGGTTGTGATCTCATACTGATTCTTGTTAACTTGACTGCAATTTATAAGATTGCAAAAAAGATCACACGTTGATTTAGTAGCAGGTAGTAATAGTGATTGATTTTCTTCAGCCGGTTTATAATTTTCATACACCTCATGGAGTATATTAATAGCTTGCTCACGTTCATTTACTACATAGGTTGAGAGCTT